CCCCCCCCCCCCCCCCCCCCCCCGGGAAGGGTCTCCTCGCCTTTCTGGGCCGGCTGCCCTCTCTCAGGGCTCAGGGTGGCTGCCGCTTAGCTTGTTGTTGCGCGGACTGATGTTATCGTGGCTCAGCGCGAGCTGCCGGCAAACGCAGGCCAGTCTCCACGCCGGTTGGCACCTTCGGCTTTTGCGGGTGTTTTGGGACTGGGGAGAAGTTCAGTCCAACCCGGCGTCTTGCCTGTACGAAGCAGGAGAGGACGGTTTTTTTTTTAGCTCTTAAAGGCAGCGGCGCAAGTCCACCCAAAAGACTGGAACCGGCCATTTAGGAATGCAGGTCTCCCTCAGTTATAGAAACCGTCATCGCCTTCGATCTCCGTTGGGGCTGCATTGACACATATTTTGTGACTGAGCTAGTGGTGCGAACACACCCAGAAATAATCATCCCCACGATTTCAGAGACATGGCACAAAGGCAAGATCGGTTCAGTTCCTGGTGACTTTATGAACACATAAAACAATCCCCATTGGGTGATCTTTTCAGAAATACAGTATTTCCTCACCTGGGGAGAAAGAATGACTAATGTTGTTGGTCAAGAAGTTGTGTCCAACCCATCGCAACCCCATGGACAACATTCCTCCAGGCCTTCCTATCCTCTACCGTCCTCCTGAGTCCATTTCAGCTCACATCAACTGCTTCAGTGACTCCATCCAGCCACCTCATTCTCTGTCGTCCCCTTCTTCTTTTGCCCTCAGTCTTTCCCAGCATTAGGCTCTTCTCCAGTGAGCCCTTCTCATTAGGTGGCCAGAGTATTTGAGTTTCATCTTCAGGATCTGGCCTTCTAAAGAGCAGGGTTGATCTCCTCTAGGACTGACCGGTTTGATCGCCTTGCAGTCCAAGGGATTCGCAGGAGATTTCTCAAGCACCATAGTTCAAAGGCCTCAATTCTTTGGCGCTCAGCTTTTCTTATGGTCCAAATTTCACAGCCATACATTGCAATTGGGAAAACCATAGCCTTGATTATACACATTTTTGTTGGTAGGGTGATGTCTCTGCTTTTTAGTATGTTGTCTACATTTGCCATAGCTTTCCTCCCCAGGAGCAAGCATCTTTTAATTTCTTGGCTGCAGTCCCTATCTGTGGTGATACCATCTTTTGGTACTGTCCCTGGGGAAAACCCCATGGTGAGTACCAAAAGGCAAAAAGAATGACTATGGGCAAGTAAAAAAGCAGTAGGAGCAAGAGTGATTTCTGACTTCCCTAATGACTTTCCTTTGGGAAGATGGTAGGGAATGAAATGAGTTTGTCAAAGTAGTAATGGACCCCAGCCACAACTTTGCTAAATTAATTTTCTGAGACATACAGTGCTGTCATGACTTCAGAAGAGTTCACAACTTCAGCTTGGCCTTGATTCCAAAGTAGTCAGTTGCCACTCACCCATCAGACCTTGTCACCAGCCAATTGGTTGTATCGGTCAAAGAGTGGCAAGAAAGATATCAGGAATATCAGTTCTTATCGTATTCTTGGGAAGATGGAGAACAAATCTACACTCCTCCCCTGTGACAATAGTCAAAATATTGGAAGATGGCTATTGTATCTCACCTTGGTCTACTAGTCTTTAAGCTACATATATTCAGATCTTTTAATTGTTCTCCATAGGATTAAGCCTTCAAGCCATCTTTGTTGCTCTTGTCTGTACTCTTTACAATGACTTAGCATCCTTTTTGTACTGTAGCAACCAAACATGCTTTGTTTTTTTTATTTCCAACCTGGTACTGTTAAGCAGTTTCCCAGGTCGTTAAGCAGACGGAATGAAAAAACTGCCTGTTGAAGGGTTCAGCTCCACTGCTGCAAGGCACTGAAGGGATTCCCCTTCCCTTCACACAGGGAGGGAAAATCCTTCAGGGGACTGCTGGAAATTTTCAAGATTCAACTCTTCCAAAAGGGATATCCTTTGTGGGGCTGGAGGGGAAATCCTTTGTGGGACTGCAGGCAATTGGTCATAAATATTTGACAAATGCCCCAAATGTGGTCATATGAATGATGTGATGTTTTACGAAGGCCAGACATGTTTTGCAGGCTGTACAGCACTTTTCTGATGCTGCTGTTAACTTTGGTCATTAAACGACAAGTTCTAAGATGAGGACTACCTGTAACACTTCCTTGTTACATCTATAGGCCACTTCACTCTGGCAGGTTTACTGATGCAAACTACTTCCTACATTTAAGCAATATAAACCTTATTACAAATTAAATTATTGTTTACAATTTTATTGAGAAAAATACAAAGTATTATCCATGCAATTATTTTAAATAAAAAAAATCCACACTGCTATGCGCCAATGCCATTAAAATATTTAAATATTTCCATATAAAACAATGGAGGTTGAATCAAAATATTCTCTATTTCATGGAGGCCAAAAATCTGGGATCCAAACCTTATATTCATTTGTATCACTAATTTTATTTATATTACCTACAACAATGCAATTAAGATTGTATTTCATATCCAAGAGGATCAAGACCTTGATCCAGAAGCATGAGGGAAGATTCTCTCAACTTCTGTAAGAGCTTCTGGAGTTCCTCCTTGGAAAATATCTGTAGGATAGGAAATACAAATGAAAGCAAATCACAATCTGAGATAAAATATCCAATCTTCTTTACCTGGAAAGCTAGTGACCAAAGAGAAAACTATTTTAATGAAGTACTCATTCTGCTTCTTAATTCTCTGGATTCTGTAACAACCAGCATGGTAATTCATTTTTGTAGTTAGTCTACAAATATCCTAATTATTCCAGTGCTTAATTATATTTAATATTTTATTAAAAATTGGGAAAGCTAGCTTATTCATACTTTTTAATAGTTTGACTCTGATCTTTGGAATTTTCTATGCAATACCATGGACAGTGAAATTAAAGAAATGCAAACTACAGCACTTTAGAGACAAGCAGAGCATTAAAAAACAATTCAAAGAGTATATTACCATATAGAGTTTGTGCCTATCTGAAGCAATCAAGTCAGCAAGTCTTAAGTCTTCCTGATACTGTCCAGTGCTATACAGAACTGTATGAAGGAGGAAGCACAACACTGGCAAGCAGAGTTTTCGCAGCATGATCATTTGATGAGAACGCTCAGGATCATCTTCAGCATCCTTGATTAAAAAGTATAGACATGGATTAAGCCAAAATCCTCTATACCATCTTAACTCTTTCTACTCCAACCTTTGAAAACTCACACACTCTCAAATAGAGAAAAAGTGAGTAAATGTTAAGTTGTGCAATTCTTCCAATTCTAACCCACAAAAACTAATCTGGCTACAGGACTATTAAATTTGGCCCTTCACTATAGTTTAAGATAGTAGTTTAATTTTAAACCAGAGCATATGTGATCTTGCCATGTCATTTCTGTTTAAGCGTAGGCACTATTTACATGGTTAGTTTGTGTAATAATGTACTTATGATTACTTATAATCTAAGAGTCAGTCCAGAAGAAGTGAACTCTGAACACTACATAGTAGTGTTCTAGTGGGAAAAATGCAGCTATTCCATTATCTTTTATTCTATTATGTAGGACTAGCATTAAATGTGCATTTTGACATCAACCAACCTCTCTGACATCAACCATCCATCCTCCATCAATAAACAATAAGACATTATACATTTTTTCTTTTACATCAGCTGTAAGAGCATCTAAAAGACCTTTCCAGATGCCATAATCTACCTGAAAAAAGATAACAAGAAAAAAAGATGTGAGACAACACAGCACACACAAAGAAGTTAAAATCCTAATATAAATTTCTGGCTATGGCTGCCCTGAAATATAATGATAAGTTATTCACACTTTATCCATATGGATAAGATATTTAGGAGTACGATTTATATTTCAATATATTATGAAGAAGTCATTTTTTCATATATATTTACCTCATATTTCTTCTCTTTAAGTTCATGGGCAACTTTTTCTGTGAAACTTGCTTGTGAAAGCTGACCTGGCTTCTGTGGAACTGAATTCATGTGTTTAAACCACTCATTAAAAGCTTCATGGGCTTCCTAAATTTAGTTGGAAGTATATAGTTATTATCAAATACATAAAACTAGAAATATGTAGGTTATATGTTTATGAATTATCTGACATCTGTCCTTGAATATATTTAAACAAATATTTTGAACATTAGTTCAGAGATCCTTTATTCCCTCTTCCTCATTAGTTGATAAGAATAGAGAGCTAAGCCTATCTAACTCAGTTCAACTTATTTAAAAGAAAAACAAAACTATCTCAATTTGGCTAAATCTGAAATAAGATTCAATCTCAGAATGCAATAAGATTTTACTACTGTCTCTGACCTCTGGATTAGCTTGTTTATTAAAATAAGCTATACGTTTGAACAGTGTATATGTTTCACAGCTAACATTAGAGCACTGACATATTTTTGGAATTAGGAACAGGTTGTCCTCTTTGGAACTTAGTCCCATTCTTACCAGGTATGCTCTAATACATAAATGCTCTCTAATAGCATTGTCATCTTCAGCCGGAAGTGGACTCTCCATTCCTTGTTCTTCCCACTGATTGTATATTTCAGCTATAGAGTCTTGTGGAATCTTTATGAATACTTCTGTAGCTGCTTCATGCTTCTTACATGCTATAAAATATTATTTAAGAACATAAGTTGCTTTCAGATTCAATATGCCTTTATCTATTTATTTATTTATTTCAAAATCATGGATAATAGTGCAGTACCCAAGAATTTCCTCATTATAGCATTGCTTTGCTTAAGTGCTTCAGCTCTCTGAGCAGGATCAAATACTAGCCAGTCAATCACATCAATCTTCAAGCGATCATCCTGGGGGAAAAATCCTGTGTTAATATTTAGGGTAATCAAATGTACCAAATTAGCTTTTAAGGC